TATACCATGATATATAATATCAATATATATTAACCTATATATATAATTAACCATAATATATTTTAACATATAATGACGTTTACTTTCTCAATTTTGTCATTAACATCAAATATTTTTTTGGTGTTTATCCATTGTGTTAATAATTTCTTCTAAGTATACTCACTTCCTTTTCGTAGATTCATTATTTCCTACATATTTCGAAGATAATGCATTTTCTACCTGCAAACATAAACAAATTAGTAAGTAAGATAAAAATAAATATTTTTATATGATCAAAAATGTTATCTTACCTCATTACGAATGATCGCAATCTAATACTTCATATACATTCGGATTGATCAGTATCTGTAGTTAGAAATTCATCCACATTATCTTTACAGATACTTCCGTTTCAATGTTTGCACAAGCAGCTCGTTTATCTAAAGAACATTAGTGCTGTATATTAATTAATTTTATAATAATGAATATCACTATAAAATTAACATGCTATATAAAATTATGTATATTAAATGAAACATATGACTTACATAGACACCAAATGTTTCATCAGAAACAAAGATTGAAGGCAATCCTTGTATAGTCGAAGGTAAAATTGATAATAACATTTCTTCCGCAGAAATAAGTTCTTGAATTTTTGGAATTCCTCCGCCAGTTTTAAACATTTCTACTATTTTTTGACAATTTTTTTCTTTACGTATTAAAATTAACATTTCTTTTGCCGTGAAATTAATGTTTCTACCTTCTTTAACCGGCTATTCCATTGTTACTAGCTACAATATTATATAAATAGAAGATTTTTCATAGAAGATTTTCATAGAAGATTAATATGTGAAATAAATACGAAAAAAAATACAAAGAAAAATTCTAAGCGCACAAAATATTAAATAATCTTTTTAAGACGTCCAATTACTTTTACACAGGCGCGTCCCATTTCTTTTACACTTCATTAAAATAACCTTTTTAGTAAAAAGTTCTGTATGAAATATGCAATTTATTTTTTTATTATGATCTTGTTGAATATAACAAATTATAACCTTTCATACACTTATTGACTTTTGATATCACATAAATCTAACCTTACTGTTCAATCGCGTGAAGTTAGTTGTATACAAAACGGAAGTAGGTATCGAATAATTTCAAGCTTACCTATTGGTTTATTACTCAATAAATATTTAATTAATTATCATTAAAACAACGAACTTACTGGTTAGGTATACTTTACCTATAAAGCAATCAATCATCAGATAAGGTAAATCAGATAAATAAGAAATCATCATTTTATCTAGAAGTTGGAACAATCGGCCCTAAGACATGTACGTAAATATTGATCGCGATAGAAATGATTGATATTTCGAGCGCCGACATCTGGCTGTTATTAAAAATCAGTAATTGTGTCTTTACATATACATATATATGAGATTAAAGGAATTGAAACACTTTAAGTGAAATTTTAGAATTTGAAAATTTCTTCTTTATAATATAATTTTCAAGCAATATTTTCCTAAAAAAAATTAGAAAAAACGATATTTACTCCAGTTGAAGAGAAGGGTTATGATATGAATTTGGGTCTAGAAGTGTACTGTCTAGAAGCTTTAAAGTCGTATTGTAGTATACTGAATAATTAATGGAAAACATAGTGCATTTTGTTCATAATATACCAGAAGAAGACCTAATAGACATTGTCGAAGTATTTGAAGATGTGAATTCCGAGGCAATAATGGACAATGATGAGGACATATTATTGGAGGATAGAACTATAATAGTAATTACAACAAAGAGATTCTGTCAATTATCGAAGAGCTTCGCGAAGCCGATCTGATGATTAGAAATTAACATTTCATTCTACACACATCG